AAGGTAATGCTTTTAAAGGAGTTATTTATGTGTATATATGTATATATATATATTTTTTATTTTCTAAGTGGGATTGATAAAATTATCTTTGAGAGTCTCACTCCTTAGAATATGAAATGTTTAAGGCTGAGAAAAGCTGCTTCTGAATCATGCATTGGGATATATATGTGTAGACGCTAAGAATAAACAGTTTGTACTTTAAAAATCAGTAACAAAAATCTGTGACAATACTTATATATGTGTATATACATGTGTGTTTATTTATATGTAAGTAAAATTTTAAAGATGCTGTTTTTTTAATTGAAGAAAAAAAATTGTTTGACTCCGTTCATTTCCAGGAAAATCTTCACGACCCATCACTTATTCCCCTAAATAACCTGTCATCTCTAGGGCCCCTGCTTCTCCCACTGTAATGTCAGCCATTCTCTTTTGCTGAAATCTCAGACTACGTTCTCCTTTCTTCTGTTCTTTGGTCTGACATTTGCATTTTTCTTTATCTTCTCAGCCCTTCCTCAGTGATACTGCTCCTTCCTACATACTGTACTTTGAAAGCACCTTCACGTTCTTTCTTGTCCCCAGTGGTAAGATCTGGCCCTTCACTCGCTCTGTCTTCTAGTAGTGAATTGATAACAACAGTAGGTCATAATTTTATCTCTAAAATCTATCTCTAGTGCTAATTTCTCTCTTAACCCCTCTAGTTGGATCCTCCTGAAATCTCAAGGCAACATGTCGAGCTGCACTTGTCGCCTATTTTAAACTAGCTCCTGCCTTTCTTTTCTACCCAGGGAAGACACTATTTTCCCAAGTCAGTTAGCCTTGAAACTTCAGAAGCAACTTGGATTCTTACTTGTTCCCCACTTTCAGTTGATCACCAGTATGGGCTTTTTGCTTTTCTTTTCACCATCCCGTGCATCCCAACCATCTTTTCTGTTGGGTGCTGTCAATCTCTCTTATCTCTGATCTCCTTTCCTGCAATTTAATCTCACACAGTTCTGACATTAGTGTTCCTAAAATATTACTTTCCTCTTGTTACTTTTCTACTCAAGGACATCCACTTCAGTCAGGAGACTTTCTGCCATCTGACTCTACCTTTTCTGTGCAAACCTAAGCAGGAGACTAGCTGCCTTCGAATATCTGAATGCCATGTTCATTCTACACTCTAAGCCTCATTCAGTTTGCCAGCCTAAAATACCACCCTTTCTCTAGACACCTAACCTTAACACACTGAAAAAGGAAGATACTTAAAATATATTTTAGATACGTGAGTATTCCAGTCAAATAATTTCTGTAAAATATACAGATGGAATGTAAAAGAGATGATTGAAGGACAACAGGGTGATAGAAGGACTTTATTAGACATTCAGATTTGGTTGGTTATGATTTAAATTTTAATTGAACATTTAATTAGGTTTTCATGGGGGAGTAAAAAACATGGAATATGATCTCTGTACAAAAATCATCCAGTATTGAATTCATTTGCATTAGAAGAGTTTCATACTTTAAAACTTTTATATCTTTATCTAAACCTAGCATATTTTTTCTTAAGCATATTTGACTTTTACTACCTGGGCATCTATATATATAAAAAAATATGTATCTGTAGATTGTGTGTTCTTTACCCATTATCTTCTTCCATGCTTCATCACAAATTTTTAAAAGTACTTTCTTCTTAAAGAATTACATGTACTTTAACAGAACCTTTGACAGTTTTTATTTTTACTTCCCCTTTGTTAAGATTATCTGTTATATAAAAACTTGACAAGCTTCTGCAATTGGGAAAAGCCTCTAGGAAACCTGTCTTCCCTAAATCCTATAGACTTTATGTAAACCTTACATTTTCCAAAAACTGATCTCCTGCCTACTCCTTCTAGGGTTAAAAATACTGCCTTGTCAGTCAAGTGTATAGTATGCCAATATAAATACCATGCTTTGCTTAAAACAGTTGGTTTGGGAAGCTAGCAAAGTTAGCGTATTTTTCACATATTTAATAAGATTTGTATTTTGATTCTGTGATAATCTATATTGCTAAGGTTACCAAAGTAAGTACCTCATGATTAGAACTGAAAATATGCTTATTAAAGTTTTTGGTGTGCTAATAGTTATTCAACTTATTGCATTTGTGAATTGTGCTTTCAGAAAAATTCTGGGCGTTATTATATATACATGTTTATAATTATGCCTATAATATATAACTTTTTAATGTATATAATTTACACTGCATCCATGATTATTCCACTTCCTTTATGACAGATTGACTATTTGAAAACCAAAATAAAAGTGAACCATGTTACCTGGAGGAATATTTCTATCTTATTCCTGTTTTTATACTCTGGGGTAAAACAATAGAGAGTTTTTCAGTTATTACAATAGCTGAAAGGGATACAATATACATGTGGTTAAACTGTGAGGAAAATATGAAGCAAAAAAGCAGGAAAAATGTCCTAATCGTAACCTAATAGGTATTTTGTTATGAAGGATCTAAGGAATTTCATTTCACTTTACAAAGACATTGTTTTCGAGATTAAGGTTTTGCTGGCTTTTCCTCCTACACTAAGGAACATTCTGCTATTATCTATGTGGTGCTGTGTCTTCTCTTATAAAGTCAACTCTTGAAGTGCTGTTTAAGGTGTTAGAAGTTTCATGATCTTCCAATGGAAATTCAAATTAGATACAGTCTATAATTTTAAAGAGTAAAAATGGAAGATGAATTACTATAGGATAGCCCACTTAAATGGAAAATATATATTTGAATAGTTTCAATGGAATTTGGTTTATATGACCCAAACATAGCTTTCTAGAATGTTTATTAGCTCTTACTAATTTCAGGAAAATGATCTAATCATAAGTGTTCTGTATTTTATTTTTCCTTGGAGAGGAATGTTGCACTTTGGATTCTATTCTCTGGCTACAGCATAAAAGAGGTTTTCAAAAACTAAAATTTTCTGAGTTCAGTTCTGTAATATTAGTGAGTAACACATTATCACCAAGAAGGGGTTTGCTAATATGCCAATTTGTTTTAAATGAATACTTAGAAATCTATATAGAAAATATCAGTAATCTCAGGCTGCCTTTTCATGATCAGTCAGGCAAGCTTATTTTTAGACCATTTCCCTTTCATTCATTGGATATAGGATTTGGGATTACAAGTGTAATGGTTTTTATAAGGTAAAAACAGCTGGAAGTAAATTCATTTGTCAAGTAGAAATTTTAGTAAATCTGATACTTCTTGCTTAGGTTCTTGTTGAAAGCTATCTCAAATACTGGAGTCATTTTCTTGACTTGGTAAGGCATTTAAAATGTTTAGTTTACATGATTTATACCCTTTAAAGAGATCTTTCTTTGATATCAATGATCAGTATCAATTTGCACTTTCCAGAACTGTAAAATTAAGATTTTTTTGGCTAAATCTCTGGGAGGTTTTTTATTTTTTTCCTTACCCCCGTCTCTCCTCCTGTTCTTTAATCTGAATAACCAGATTATTTGTTTGGAAATTAAAATTTTTAGGTATAACAATGTATAAAGTTAGTGAATTTTGTATTTAGGATTAAAAAGGGTTTATGTTTTTATTCACTTCTGATTACTGAAAGTGGTTCCATGAATAAAATGACAGTTTCCTATAAAATATAGATTGCTGAATAATTAAACTATGCTGAAGGAAAAAAAAGTGTATAGTCTCCCTTTTAGTAAAGGTGACTTAGACCCTAACAAGATTCAGAAAAGGGAAAAACTCATGTTACACTTCTTGAATTTATGTTCAAATGTGATTTTTATTTTATATATATATTTTTTTGCTATAGACAAAGCAAATCCAAAAATCTCACCTATATAAGAATTCTTATGCATTATTAAAAGTTTGTAATAATAAAATATGTATTGGTGGTGGAAAAGAATCCCACAAGTGCTCAAGATTGACATAACCTTTAACAAAGTGGAAAAAACTTTTATTAGAATTACTAAGTCTAGGTTCAGATTTATGTCAGAGCACTTTATGGTGCCAAAATTAGTACCACTAATTTTTCTTGAGCTTAAATGTCATTTTTCACTAAATGAGTTTAAACGAGAGGTTTAAATTATTTGAAGCAAGAATTTGTACAGACTTGGGAATCTTTGGCTTTGGTAAACTCCCCTTTTCCTAATTAGCATATCTTTCACATGCTTTTCAGAATCATTTATCCCATAGTATGTGTTTCAAGTTCTATTTAGTAATTATTTAATTTCAAAAATAACCTCCCTTTCAGTTACAAGGTTCTTAAACACAGTAAAATACCTTGTAATTTGAGTAACTTTTTTCTTCTTAAGCAAAGTACTTAGCATTTGCCTAATTTTCACAAAATTCTTCTGAATTAATATGGAAACCAATAATTATCCTCCTTAAAAATTAGTGGGAAAAGAAGTACTGAAAGGTAAGCACCTAGCACAGGGTCACAGATTAACCAAGCCAAAAAATATGGGTATTCTAACTGCTCTTCTGGTGTACTTCTATTATTTGTATTACCTTGAATAAAATATGGCATTTAAAATTTTATAATGTCATAATGCTGAGTCTATACCAAGTGGGGTGGCATGTTAAATTTTTAAAAGAAAAATTACAAACCCAGGTTTAAGTAGTAATGGAATTAACTACTGAATATTTTTTTTAAAGACCATTGACGACAGTACTTGTGAAATCAATCCTTACTAACATTGTCCTGTTTTCCTAGACAGCACTGATTTAGAAAAAGTATACAAGACTCTAAAGACCCATGGAACAATTAGGGACCATTAAGTTGGTACTAAGCTACACCACAGTAAAAGTCCTATATATTGTATATTGACACACAAAGAGAAAGGTGACAGGAGTTTTCAGTAATGTATTTTAGAAAACTGTTCATTTTTTGCTAATGTTTATCTGAATATAAGACATACAAAACAAGGAAGCATTGACCACTGAGTCTTTTCATGCCCAGTATCCAAAAGTGAAGTTTTTCTTTCCCTTCTGTTCATGATAGTTATTAACAAAGCATTGCCTTTCAGATGGTCCCGATTCTGTGATGAGGCACTTGAAGAGTCTGAAGGTTAGGGCATGTGAAATAGGGAGCTGGAAGAAAGCATGCAGCTATTCCATTGGAAGCAAAAGGGAGTGTAGGCCCATAGAATACTTCTTCTTTGCCTTCCCTACTTACATCCACTACCTACAAAAGAAGAGAAGCCTGTATGTCAAAGATTATTGTTCAATATAATTTGAGCAAAAATATATAAGTATATACATAAAAGGATGCCTACAGTTGAATTCAATTATGCCACCATGACCATACGTACCTTAGGCATTGGGTTTTTTCCCCCTCACAGTATGATACCAGAAATATGTCTGAAGGTCCAGGTGCTACTATATGCATTTGTATATTTGGGTGTCTACATATATACGTAGATATATGTTTATAATTAATCTTAACAGTGATGAGGTAGGTAGCTTTATCCTCCTTTAATATAAAGGTCTGTGGCTTTAAACACATTACACCAGATGGACCTAACTTATCCATCCAAAAACAGTGGAATACACATTATTTAAGTGTACATGGAATATTCTCCAGGATAGATCATATATTACGCCACAAACAAATCTCAATAAATTTAAGAAGACTTTCTGAAATCGTATCAAGCATCTTTTCTAACCACAACAGTACCTAGAAATAAGTTACAAGGACTGGAAAACAAAAATAAAACACAAATACAGAGGCTCAACAACATGGTATTAAGCCAATGAGTCAATGAAAAAAAAAAAGTCAAAAAATTTCATGGAGAAAAATGTAAATGAAAACATTATGGTACAAAATCTTTGGGACACAGCAAAAGCAGTTCTAACAGGGAAGTTTATAGCAATCAAGCAACAAGAGAAATCTCAACCTAACCTTACACCTAAAGGATCTAGAAAAAGAAAGCCCAAAGCTAGTAGAAGGAAGCAAGGAATAAAGATTAGAGTGGAAATAAACTAAAAAAAAACAGTAAAAGCAAGAGCTATTAATGAAAAGATAAGCAAAACTGATAAACCTTTACCCAGACACATCAAGAAAAGACCTAAATAAATCTGGAATGAAGAAAAATAACAACAAACACCACAGATACACAAAGGATTGCAAGAAACTACTATGAAAAATATTACGCCAACAAATTGGACAACCTGGAAGAAATGGATAAATTCCTAGAGACATACAATCTTCTAAAACTAAGGGAGAAAACATGAACTGACTGATTACCCATTCAATTTCATTATTAGTAATCAACTACCAACAAAAACCCAGGACCAGATGGCTTTATAAGTGAATTCAACAAACATTTAAACAAGAGTTAACACCTGTTCTCAAACTATTCCACAAATAAAGAAGAGGAAGGAAAATACCCAATGTATTCTGTGAGGCAAGTATTAGCCTGATACCAAAACCAAAGACATTACAAAAAAAAAAAAAAAAAACAACTACAGAACAACATATCTGATGAAGATAGATGCAAAAAAATGCTGAACAAAATATTAGCAAACTGAATCCACCAATACATTAAAAAATTACCATGATCAAGTGGGATTTATTCTAGGAATAAAGTGTTTCAATACTCACAAGTAAATCAATGTGATATATCACATTAAGAGGAAAGACTAAAAACCATATGATCACCTCAAGAGATGCAGAAAAAGCATTTGACAAAATGCAACATCCATTCACGATAACTCAACAAATTGGGTTTAGAGAGAACATACCTCAACATGATAAACCAAATATGAAAAACCCACAACCAACATCATACTGAAAAGTGAAAAACTGAAAGCTTTCCCCTTAAGACCAGGAACAACATGAGGATCCACTCTTGCCACTTTTCAACATAATACTGGACATCCTAGCTGTAGCAATCAGAAAAGAAAAAGGGAAGGCCTCCAAATTAGTAAGAAGATAAACTATCATAATTTGCAGATATATATTTTCTAATTATAGAAAACCCAAAAGACTCTGCCAAAGAACAGATAATTCAGTAAAGCTGCAGTGTACAAAATTAATATACAGAAATGTGTTACATTTCTATATACTAATAATGCAGTAGCAGAAAGAGAAATTTAAAAATCCCATTGGAGAGTAGTGCAAGATGATGGCTTAGGAAGACTATGAACTCACCTCCTTCACAGACACACCAAATATAAACCTATTTGTGGAGCAATTCCTCCTGAAGGAGAAGTGAGAGCTGACTGAACAGCTTCTGCACAAAAGATAGACCACATAACTGCAAGAGAGATGGAAACATTAATGAAGATAACCCAGTCCCAACAGTGTGAATAGCAATGGGGAGGGATAGTACTAAGGAACTGTGAGTGGAGGCATCTGCGCTGGGGCACAGAAGAAAAGCCACAAATTAAAAGCAACTAACCTATAAAGGATCCAGCCCTACCACCACCAAATAGGAGAGCAGCAAGAACTCTGCACTGGAGGTGCTTGTAAGCACCACTGTTTACTTTCCCTCTCCACCTTATTAGCATGGACAGGAATAGGGTCCAGGCACCCTAGCTAGCCTGTTGACTCCGTGATCCCCTGGCCTCTAGCCCACACAAGACCAAGCCATGCAAATAAGGCAGCTTCCAGCATGCCACACACCAAGACACCCCTGCTCAGCACTCACTACACCTACAGCCATCCTGCCAAGGTGACACAGGCACAAAACATTGTGGAACACTCCAGGCACATGCTTTTTTATCTCCTAATTCTTGCTATGTTTGATACCCCCAGCTCAAGAGAGTTTCAGGACTTACCTGCACAGAGCATCTCAGGAACCCCCGGTCTGTACCCTGCCTCAGCTGTAGCCACCTGACCAGGGCAAACCCTGCACCCAATGCTCTGAGACAACCTAACCCACACCAGCCAGAGCTCTAGTTGCCCTGCCAGAGCATCCCATGAACTAAGCATTCCAGGATACCCCAGCATGCACGCAGTTCAGATACAGCTCTCCTGTCAGGGCACCCACTGTATGGAGCACCCCAGGATGCCCCAGACCATGCTACACCATGACTCCAGCCACCCCACTAGGGCAGCCCCTGCACAGGGTGCTCAGGACACCCCAGCCTGCACCTCTCTTTGCCTCCACCTAACCCACTAGGTGCCTTCCATGCAGAGAACCCCAGCACACAGTTTGCACCAACTTTGGCTTTAGCTATCTTGCCAGGGCACCCTCTGCATGAGAGTTACAGGAATACCCTGGTCTATGCCCACTACAGCTCTAGTCATCCCATTAGGGAAGTCCCAGCATGAGTGCCCCAGGACCACGAAGTTCATGCCAGCCACAACTCTAACCAGCCAGTCACTGACACAGTCTACATAGATGACCATACACAAGACCATTCCTTCAATGTTAGAAGTAGCTGTGCTGCCTAATTCATAGGAATAAACACAAAGGCAATGGGAGGAGACAAAGGGATATACTCCAAATAAAATAAGACAAAAGCTCAGAAAATGAACTAGATGAAATGGAGATAACCAATCTACCTGATAAAGAATTAAAAGTAATGGTCAGAAAGAAGCTCACCAGACTACAGAGGAGCGGGAAAGAACTCAGTGAAAATGTCAACAGAGAAACTATAAAAAAGCATGAGAGTTAGGAATATAATACGTGAGTGATTTATTCATTTATTTTAGAGACAGAGCACACGAGCAGGAGCAGAGGGAGAATCTCAAGCAAACTCCCTACTGAGCATGGAACCCAACAAGGGGCTTGATCTCACAACCATGCCCTGAGCTGAAATCAAGAGTCAGATGCTCAACTGACTGAGCCACTCAGGTGCTCCAACAGTGTCTTTAAAATGACATGTTAGACCAGTTGGACATAATACAAAACATTCCATCCAAAAACAAGATTACAGAGTCCTTTCAAGTGCACATGGGACATTCTGCAGGATAGATCAGAGGCTAAACCACAATGCAAGGCTCAATAATTTTAAGAATGAAATAATATGCATCTTTTCTGACCACAATGGTATGAAACTAGAAATCAATAACAAGAAACAAAAATGGAAAACACAAATACCTGGAGGTTAAATAAAACACTACTACATGACCAATGGGTCAATGAAGTATTCACAGAGAAAATTTTAAAAATACTTGGAGACTAATGTAAATGAAAACACAACAGTTAAAAATCTTAGAACAGCTTTCACTGTGTCCCAAAGAGGGAAATTTATAGTGATACAGGACTACCTCCAGAAACAAGAAAAATCTCAATCTCATTTATATCTAAACGAACTAGAAAAAGAGTGAACAAAACCCAATGTTAGAAGGAGGGGAATAATAATGATCAGAACAGAAATAAATGGAATAGAGACTAAAATAGATCAAAACCAAGAGCTAGTTCTTGAAAAGATAAAATTGATAGAAAATTAGACTTATCAAGAAAAAAGAGGACACAAAAAAATAGAATAAGAAATGAAAGAGAAGTAACAACTGACACCACAGAAATAAAAAGAATTATAAGAATACTATGAAAAACTGTATGCCAAAAAAGTAGACAACTTGGAAGAAATGGATAAATTCCTAGAAACCTAGAATCTTCCAAACCCAAATCTGGAAGAAAGAAAATGTCAGACCAATTACTAGTAAGGAAACTGAATTGGTAATGGAAAAAACACACACAAAAAAACAACAAACAAAAGTCCAGGACCAGACAGATTCACAAATGAATTCCACCAAACATTTAAAGAAGAGTGAATACCTATTGTTCGCAAACTATTCCAAAAAATAAAAGAGGAAAGTTCACAAATACATTCTATGGGACTAGCATTGCCCTGATACCAAAATCAGACACTATTAAAAAAAAGAAAAGAAAAAAAAGCTTTTCAGCCAGTATCCCTGATGAACAAAAATACAAAAATCACCAACAAAAGATTAGCCAGCTGCATTCAACAATACACTAAAAGAACCATTCACCACAATCAACTGAGATTTATTTGGAGGATACAAGAACAGTTCAATCTTTGTAAATCAATCAACACAATATGTCACATTAACAAATGATAAGTATTGTGATCATCTCAAAAGATACAGAAAAAGCATTTGACAAAATTTATGTTTCTGATAAAAATTCTTAATATTAGTGGATTTAGAGGGAACATATCTCAGTTTAATAAAGGAAAACATGGAAACCCACAGGTAAGATCTTAGT